TCCACATGCACAAAAGACAAAAGGGGTGGAAATGTATTTAGTCTCATTTTGCACATTTGGAGAGTGGTGCAGCGACTGGGTGCAACAATTCTTGTGGGGCGGTTCCTCTACGGTCGGGCCGAGGCACCTCCGCGGATGTAAGCCGTTTATGGGACAGTGGTTGGGGGACTGGGGACACGCTCCCCGGCCGACGAGATGATCGTGGAACACGGTAGCAGAGAAGAATCGCCAGCACGGTAGCACCATCGCCAGCACGGTAGCACCAGAGTGACAAGTTCATTACGAATTTCTGGGCTGAGAAAACAGGAAAAAGGCCAAAAAAAAAAAGAAGAAACAGAGACCTCCCACCGGAAATCACAGCAGTGTGCTTCCCAGCCATCAGATCACAAATGATCTGATGGTGGTGGTTGCAAAAACAGTGAACAAAGTAACCGCCACATTTTCTGGAATAAACTCGACTTCTGACAGCAGTGATCCTGACACCCTCCATATACTCCGTGATTGAAGTAGAGCTCCACCCAATGAGATAATTGCACAACAGCAAGTAAAATGCTGAAAATCTTCTATCCAGTGGGCTAAGGCTGACCCCAACCTCGTTTGGGGTTGGCCACAGCCCCAAACGATTGAAAAGATTCTGGCGGGAAGCTGTCTTTGCACGGGCATGCCCAGTGTTAAGGAGAGGAGGAGGGGAACGAAGATCTCCTTATTTTTTCGGGTAATACATGTAAAATACTGACGGTGGGATCACCAGTAGTGCAGGGCAGGATTTGGGTCACTCAACTGCCCCACAAACTCGTTTCTATCCTATCCCGTTGCTAGTGGGACCTCGCCCCCGCTAATTACAAATTTCTAGACATTTATCTCTCACTGAGATGTACGTAATTGCAGCTTCATATCTGGGGGGAATTTTTCAGGCCTGGACCCCACAGACTGGCAGAACCGTTTTTTTTTTTTTTTTTTTTTCCCCCCAAATGACAGAAGAGACAAGACGAGGCCGGGGACCTCACATATCAACCCGGGTTATCTGACAGCATCAGCCAGCTTAGCTTACAGGCTTTCGCCTGCGGAGGTCAGTCTCACTGACTTCCAGACCTACCCTGTGCTAGATCGACTTTAGGACAGTACCGACCCAGAACCCGGTTACAAATTAACACCTGCCTAAAACCAATAATAAACTATGAGAACTGAGACTAGTCAATAACAAACTATGGTCACCTTGAGGATTCTCAGACCTGAGGGTGGAGTATAGCTTGATTTATTTTGTTTTATTTTTTAATTTATTTTTTTTAATTTATTTTTTAAACACGGGCCCAGTGCCCAAGGCTCGTATTCCATTTCAATTCATGAGGCCGGGGTCCTCACAGTCTACCCAGTAGCTGGGAAGAGGTCTGTCTAGGTTCAACTTTGCAGTCTTAGCAGCCTCACTGTAGTGTCGTCCCACATGTCTGATGACATGGAGAGGTCCGAATTCACGCCGTCCAGTGGCCTCCTAGTTGAGAGAATGTCTTCGTAGTATAGACTCACATATTGCAGCATACCTGCCGCTGTGCAAGCTAGAGGGGCAGACCCATCGAATGGATGCTTAAATGTGATCATCTGTTGCTGATTACGGCTTGGCAACAGTTTTTCAAAGGTCTCCTTCAACATCTTGTCGTGCGTTTCGATCCCTTTCCCTTTGAGCATGTCCGTCCACATGTTTTGCTTCCCCTCTTGCACGACATCCCATTCCGCCATTTTTCTTTCTCGTCCCTCTGCCCATACCATTGCAGAGATCGGATGACCTTCCATGCGGTCCTCCGCTTCTTCCACCCTCCTTTTGCAATCTGCTTCCTCCTTATTCCTTGTTCTGGCTAGGATCCTGGATATCATGTCCAGCACCCCGGAAGATACGACAATGTCACCGTCCAACCATTCTGTTGTAGAACTGAACAACGGTCTAGTGCTCTTCCAACAGCTCATGTGGTTAGACACCCATAGGTTCACCCCTGACACTCCCAAGATCTGGTTGTTCACCCGGAAAAAAAACCATGCCCCTCTCCATCCCCAAGTGTAGCCGAATGTCCGCGATCACCAGCTTGTGATCTGACACTGGATTACCCACTTGGCGCACAGCAGTTACTCTCTCCATCAGTTGACCTGCTAGCAGGAAGTAATCCAGACGCCTCCTTGTTGCTAGCTGCTTGTTACGGAAAAGATTTGACACCAAGTATACCCCGGGTCATCCGGGTTGAGGACTGGGATCGGATCCATCAAGTCCAATTCCGTGTTGAATTCCAACAGCATTTGGACATCCCTTCTGTTTGTTGACTGCAAGCCAACTCATGGTGCTTCATCTAGGGACACATTCCAATCACCCATGAGCTTGTCCACCTTGGGAACAGGCAGCATCAGTCTGGCGAAGAAAGTATCCCTCCTTCCCACGTCCGTTGGAGCGTATACCCTCATGATCCATTCCTCATTTCCTATCCCAATCTTCATCCAAGCCCACCTCCCCCAAATGTTCGTCTCTGAATCTATCACTTGCTGGTGCAGAAGGATACCCACACCCCCTCGAGTGCCTTGGGCGGGAGCCCACACCTGTGGACCATCCCACCAGAGGGATATGTCCCTCAACTTCTCTTCGTTCAGTTTGGATTCTTGCAGTAGCACTACATAAGCCGTTCTTTCATGAAGCCAACTCTTCAGATGTGATAAGCTCAGATCCGTACCGCGCGGCTTGCCGTATCCCTGAGGTAAAATTCCGCGGAAGCCCCGAGGCACGGATGCGGACAAACAGGGGT